TAATATTTAAAGAAACATAGCATACGTCTACTTAGGAAATACATATGTTATATTCATGTAGATACACAAATAAAAACCTAACTAAGATATTCCAGTACATATCAAGTCGCTCAATTCAAAACTTTAATTTGATCGTATTAAATTTAAGCTTTAGTAAATATGCAAAATTGTTTACTGAATATTTAGAGTACGGAAGGTTCGACGTTTCATTGAAACACATAAATATAATTTATTTCAGCTGGCTACCATTGCAGGTAACTTGATGATAAAACATGAACACAATGAATTCACCTCAGATATTTTCCTCTTATTGGAAACAGTTGGGGCTGAGTTGACTATTCGTAAGTTTTTTAAACAATAAAAGTATGTAAATGGATAATTAAAAAGGATTAATTTCATTTATATAAACCATACCAAGGGTTAAGAAGCAAATCAATTGACATCTCTTGACGATATTGAGTTATATACGTATTTGTAATCAGCGATATTCACTGATTTCAATTATGTATAAAACTTAATATCGAAAAAAAAAAATCTTATCTCAAATGGTTTGTGTTTTAACCTGTGATATAATAATAATAAAACAGATTATTATTTAGTATGTCGTAAACTACATACTCTTTAAAATATGTATTAAATACGTATTCTAAATCTTGACATAGATGAGACAATAAAAGATCTAAAAGTACAAACTACGAATGAAAATTGTACACTATTTAATTCAGTGTATTAATTTATTTTGTACTAATTTTTCAGGTACTTGGTTAGGAATAACACAAACAGTTTCCGTGAAGCAATTCTTACAGCTGGATATGAAATGGAAAGTTATTGTAAAAGTTGCACTACCGCCTCTAGTTGACGATGAATACAAAGTTATGACATATAAAGTAAGTACTGGTAATAACTGTCAGGTAAAAACTTTGATTTATGTTACATTTTTAAAAGATAAAATAATTATAAAGACGAAGATAAACGCAACATCAGTTACGTCATGCTTATGAAGAATATGATCACTTCAACTACTGAAGGCTCTAAATAATTATGCTTTTGATAAAGGAAAGACTAGAACTTGGAAATGGTAGGCGTACATTTCACTTTTGATAATAATTAACATAAAAATATTTTATAGATAATGCCTCGTGTACAAAACGCGCATGCAATAGTCAACGGTGGGTTTTTATACAGACTCAAATCTGATGGAACAGTACGTCAATCAAGAATAGTATACAGCGGTCTTGTAGCACCTTCTACCAGAGCCACACTCACTGAGACATTCTTATTAGGAAAGAAACTATTTACTAATGAAACGTTGCAAGGCGCTATTAAAGTCATGGAACAAGAACTCGTAGCCACAGCAAATCCACCTGAACCTTCGCCAGAGTATAGAAAACGTTTAGCGTTAGGATTATTCTATAAAGTATGTCTGTTGAAGTCAATTTTAACTGCGTCGTTAGTTATATGTGAAGTTCTTTCAAAGTTTTGTAATCAATCAAGACAGAACAGAAAAAATATCTTAATAGATATATAAACAAGTTTAATATTAACATAAATAATTTGACTTTATTCTAGAGTGTGTTGGCACTTTGTCCGTCAGAGAAGCTCAACACACGTTATCGGTCAGGTGCAATAAAAATTCATGCCAATCGACCTGTATCAAAAGGAAAACAAAACTTTGATACAAATCCATCAGTATGGCCACTAACTCAACCAGTACAAAAAGTTGAAGCAATGGTAATTTATTCACTTGCAATATAATATGTGAATTTTAAATTTAACACAACTACATGATTTCTTTTTCCATAGATACAATGTTCAGGTGAAGCTAAATACACAGATGATATACCTGTACTCCCACATGAAGTTTTTGCTGCATTTGTTCTTACAACGGAAGGTTCAGGAATCATTAGTGATATCGATGCCAGTGAAGCTTTGGTAAAAATAAAATATCTAAATCTTAGTTTAATATTATTAAGAATAGTATAATATTAATATGAATTTTGAATAATATTTTTGCAGAAAATGAAAGGTGTTTTGGCATTTTATACAGCCAAAGATATACCAGGTCTGAATTCGTTCACCCCTAAAGACGTTCCACTATATTCAGCAAATGAAGAAGTACTTTGCAATGGTGTAGTACAATACTTTAATCAACCATTTGGGATAATAGTAGCTGAAACTAGATACTTAGCTGACCGTGCATCAAAAATGGTTCGCGTCACATATAAAAATGTAAAGCGACCCATTATTGACATCAATGAAGCTAAAAATGATCCGTCTAGGTTAAAACAATATGCTTCTGTACAAGCAACAGAAAGAGGTGGTGATGTTGCACAAGTAATAAAAGGTGCAAATTCCATATACCAACAATATCACTTTTCTATGGAGACGTTAGTTTGTGTAACAAAGCCTTCGGAACAAGGTCTTGAGGTTTATAGTAGTTCGCAATGGATGGATGGAACACAAATCATGATAGCTCGAGCTTTGAAGATGGATGCAAATAGGTTAGTTATAATTTATCGAATATTGTTTTATTATATATTAATTACGAACTGACCTTTAATTCAGCTTTACATTTATTATATTTAGAACCCAAATATTCCATTTTATCTGATAGTATTTTTATTTATTATTAATAGCATCGATGTCTATATTACGCGTCTTGGTGGTGCGTATGGAATTAAAATATCGCGTACCATACAACTAGCAGTAGCTTCTAGTTTGGTCTCAAAAAAGCTTAATCGACCATGCAGGATGATACAAGCGCTAACTACAAATATGCGAGCTGTCGGAAAAAGAATGCCGTGTACAAATGAATTCGAAGTATGTAAAAAATAAAGTTAATTGAAAATATCCCAAGTGTTGTCTTGTAACAAAATTAAACTTTTCTAGGTTGGCGTTGATAAATCTGGTGTGATTCAATATGCGGATTCTAAACTCTTTCAAGACAATGGCTACATAATCAACGAGGGTCTTTCTCAGCTTGCAATTGATGTTTTCTATAACACATACAGGAAATCGAGGTGGAATTTAACTGGAATCAATGTTGTAACCGACACACACAGCAATACATGGTGTCGTTCACCTGGTATGTGTTTAAGATATTTATTTGTATTCTTCTTAAATTTCCTGGTCATTTTTTTAACAGATAAGAAAAAAATGACTGAGTAAATAAAGTAGTTTTCCACTGAATCGCTTCGGAAAAATGAGTCTTGTCTAGTAAGAACAAGTTTTAACTGATATACAATTTTGAGCATTCGATATTTTTAGTATTAACAAAAGTAATTTATTAAAAACTAGTTCTAACTGACGAAAACTCAATCTATCTACTGGTTTTAACTGTAATATTTATTGCAATGTTATTGCTTGTGATGATCCTAAGCATGATAACATTGCATGAAACAAAATTTATCTAAGAATATCACGCTGTGTTTTATCATTTAAAAATGTTTATATTGTAGAACTAGGGATTTGAATTACTTATAGATTATGATTAATTATCAATTTATGACAAAGTCATTTAATAGCTGCTCCCATAAAAAGATAGGTACATTTAATTTCACGTTTTTATACGAATGCGTGTATTTTTTTACATGTCAGATTTTTAATGAGATTTGATCTAAAGCATATCCACGATATTGCAAATCTTAGCATTTTATAAAAATACGTATACATTTGAACCTGGATAAAAGAAATAATATAATTTAATTTTATAAATGTAAACGTTGCCATAAAATATAAAAAAAATTGTATTGTGAATGTGTTCAATAGTATTGTTTTGTTTAAGGTAGTTAGTTATACTTTAAATTAAAAAGACAATCAACACCTTTGTCTTATGTGAACACGGAACTTGTAAAGGGTCCGAAACACCAATAAAACTAAATACAAACGCGATTAAACCGTCTAAAAGTTATTTCAGCTATAAATTATAAACTTATTAAATATTATGCCAGATGTGCATATGAACCGACTTTTTGACGAATTTACTACAATAAATTGCAAATAAGTCGTAAATTGCAAATAATAAAATAGAGATTAGAAAAACAAAGCGAATTTAGGGCTGTTAAGAAATTATAAACCAAAAAATTTCACCAAGTCGACAATTACTACAAAGGGACGCTTGTTTACACAAATATCTAAACACTTTACTATAAAATTTTGAATTTAGCACTTTTACCAATAGTTTCTTAGAAAGCCTTTAAGGACAGTATGATATACCTTCATAAATGAGAAAGATCACTTCACACTATGTAAGCTAGAAACTATAAGAAAAAAAAGTCGTGGTTCCTTGAATTCTTTCTAATCCAGGTTCGACTATACTTGATATGTCTACCTGATCTTAAAGAGATACAGACAGGGTAATTTTTTCGTTTGTTATATTGAAATGTAATATGAAATATTTTCTTTAAGTATGTTCTTAAATAGTAGGGAGACTCTAGTTTATAATATAATTACATATTTCAGGAACATTCGAAGCAATATCTATGACTGAGTACATTATGGAACAAATTTCTTACGAGGCTGATTTGGATCCTATAGCAGTCCGATTGGCAAATTTAGATACTGAAAATTTTAATGAAATCAAAGAGATGTATGACACACTGAAAGTTAATTCTAACTATGATGAAAGAAGAAAAGCTGTAGATAAATTTAATTCTGAAAATAGATGGAAAAAGAGAGGCTTAAGGACATCTTTCATGAGGTGGTCCCCGTTGGGAAGTCCTCGGTTCAATGCCAATTTATCTGTATATCATGAAGATGGTACAGTTGTCATTACTCATTCTGCTATTGAGATGGGTCAAGGTATAAATACCAAAGCAATGCAAGTTGCAGGATATTTCTTAAAAATACCATTAGAAAAAATTAAAATAAAAGGCAACAACACAATCATCGGATCAAACGCCTTTATAACCGGCGGTAGTGTTGCTAATCAGAACGTTGCTATCTCTGTTTAGAGGTGCTGTGAGCAACTTTTGAAAAGATTGGAACCTATAAAGGCTAAAATGCCATCCGCAACATGGGAAGAAATGATAAAAAGTGCTTTTGATGCAGATATTGATTTACAAGTACATGGCTACTCCAACACAGCGGATGCCCAATATTATAACGTGTGTGGAGTTTGTTTTGCTGAAGTAGAAGTTGACATTTTAACAGGTGAACATGAAATAATAAGAGTGGATTTGATTGAGGATCCAGGGCGAAGTATAAGTCCAGAAATAGACATAGGACAGGTAGGTTTTATTCGTGAATTATTAATTGCTAAGTGGTTAAATTTTATTATAACATTTTTTTTTAGGTTGAAGGGGCTTTTATTATGGGTGTGGGTTACTGGACATCAGAACACATAGTTTTTGACCCTCAGAATGGAGAAATCCTAACAGATCGTACTTGGACTTATCACGTACCCCAAGCAAGAGATATACCTCAAGATTTCCAAATTTACTTAACAAAGAAATATCCCAGCTCTGATGCCATTCTGGGAATGAAAGGTAGATATTTTTTTTTACATTTCAACATTATTTTTTGAGAGCCTTAAAGAAGTCGTCGAATATATGAAACGATTTGTTCATTTCATGTATAAAAGTGTACAAATAATAGTTCTAGCAATAGGTAAAAATTCAAGCAATTCTAACAAACATTGCAATTTGATGACTAGGAGCCATCAAATGTCAAGTGTATACCAGTAACGTTATTGTTACTATGTTTGTTATGAAAAATAATATGTATATATATATATATATTTTTTATTTTTTATTTTCCAGCAATTGGAGAACCTCCTTTGTGTCTTTCAGTTGTTATACCATTTGCAATGCGAGAAGCTATTGTGTCGGCACGCTTGGAATCGGGATTACCAGCTAATAAATGGTTTGCAATTGGTAAGATTTGGAAGTTAAAGATGTTTTTTTTATCACAACCCAACGACTCAATTGTATTTTTTTTCAATTTGCACAATACTGAATCTCTTAGTTTTTTTTAATATTAGTCATGTAATTTCAATCTTTGTGTTCTATAACAAAACTCTAATTAGATAATATTTTAACGATATTGTAACTACTTGCGTGAGGTAATAGTTAGTCTCATACAATACGGCCTTCGTCTAGAAAATGAATTCTTGAAATAGCTAGGAATATCATCGTATTTATTATTTAACTAATGTGAAATAATAATTGAGTTAAAAAGAAAATGGAAACTCAGCATTATTGAACAGTAGGCACTGCCGAAATGAATCTAAAATAGTAATAAATTGTTATCTTTACGTGTTTTCTTTATTTTTATTTTTTTTAATTTCAGATGGGCCTTACTCACTAGAAAAAATTTGCTTGTCCGCGAAAACCAAGATAGAAGATTTCAAACTTTACTAAGACCTTTTTGAGATTTCTCACATATTTAATTAATATTTGACACGAATTTATAAGTTTTAAACGGAAAAGAATTATTAATAATGAATTAATTTAAATGAGCTTTTTTTTTAACATTAATAATTATCTGGAAAGTATACGATTTTTGCTTAATTTCTAATTAATAACATGTTTTATACATTTATCGTATGAATATATTTTCATGTGTTTGAGACACCTTTAGATGATTGTTACTGATATGATAAGAGTTCCCAAAACTGTCCCGGAAAATAATTGATATGATAAAATGATAAAACCGTGTTGTTCGAATGAGTAATTTATTGCTACTGAGTTATATTAACATTTATTAAACGTGTGTCGAGTTGCGCGCAGCGCCGACGTTAGCATATTATTGATACATATAAAAATGTACGGGTGTGCTCGTACATCACGAAAATTGCAAACGACATCGAAATATTAAATGAAAACTGAGAAATTTGAAAGTATTTACCGGTAAAAATCACGTAGGAATCGAAATTGAGTAAAATCATACATTAGACTTATATGATACAATTTACACACAAATAGATGTGAACATACAGTTATTAACACACCCAGTTATTGCAAAGGCCAAATTTCGATTATAAGCTTTAACATATTAATAATTAAAATGAGTAAATTGATTTAGATACGTACATTAAATGTAAAAGTTCAGAATTTTATAAGCTCTTGTTTTACTGTTAAAATCTTGGCACTGAATTTTAAAACTGTTTTCCTCAACCAGTTCAGTTTAAAGTTTTTGTATAGGTATTGATTAAGTTCAGATGACAATACATGGTTTGCTAATTTACACCATTTTAAATGCAACATGGCGGACGGCCCAAAACGGTGGTATAGTTGTTTTGGGAATGATATCAAATGAAAAAAATATGAAAATAATAAAATAGCTTCATTCTAAATCCAATGTGAGTGCTATCTAAATGTATCAAATAAAGGAGTTCACTGAGAACATTACAATGACATAACTAAAAATAGTGTTTTATTTTATTGGTTACTAATATTGAAGTGAATCATGAGATTCCGTAATTAGAATTTTAAAGATGCTCTTGAAAGAATCAATTGTTTGTAAGAGATGCTCTAGTGTTAGCCCGATCTCTTAATTTGACCAAGGGAAATGAATAACGCGCTATCACTGCCTTGTAGAGACCTTAGATGGTGTGTGGGATTCTCCCATGCTAACGAACCAATAGCAGCAAAGCAGGACAAAAAAGCGGGGGATTACCAGCTAAACACACTTATAGCACTCTCACATAAGAGTGGTGTAAGATCGTAATCGTGGGGCCAACTACTCCCAAATGTCAGCCGACCTAATGGTATCATAAGTGGAGTGCTTTATCCACACAAACGGTGGGGGAACTGCTTGGGATTCCATAGGAACCCTCGGGGGATGGGGTCGCTGTCAGCGTGAAGGAAAAGGCTAAATGTCAGCCAACCTCATTCGATTTCACTACTTACTTATCTATACATTCATCAGTATGCAGTCACGCTTCCGCCGTTTGTGTACATGTTTTTATCATCGTGTTAATATTTATTTAATAACGAAACAGTGGTGGTTTTTAAGTTACAACGCTGATATATTTTATTATGCACGATCACATAATATAACTCTTGCGAGGTAGCCATTATAAATGTTTTTTAATATCATAGAGAGAATAGAAATTTAAAGTGGCCATATTATAAGAAAAAACCTTAGAGAGTTTTGTGTTTGATCAAATCATTTGTCTTAATATTTTATTTTGTTTATATTATTAGAAATTGGATTGACTTTAAACTTCAAAGAAGTGTGAAATAAATAATACTTATCATAAAAGTGAGTTAATTATTCAAGAAACTGCTATTGAAATTGTCATTTATAATTTATCATTTAATAACCTACAGTAAATCACCTCCCTACTTCAATACCTAGCAATTTCTTAAATAATTAAGTCGCTATTAAGATTATTATTTTACACTTTTTTGAAGTTTGAAGTCGGTTCTATATTTTATTTTATTATGCATATTGTATATCAGTTGTATTATCAAATAATTTTTATGAGTCGTTATATTAATCGATTAACGAAAGAATCACATATCGCTTTTGAATCTTTTATGTAATTGAAATAGACTTCATAATTGGACTACCCTGGTATAAAATAAAACAGGGAAACTAGCATCCCTTGCTGGGTTTCTTGCCGATTCTTCTCAGTACAAGGTCTCCGTCCGTAGATTTGCGAACCGTTGGCACAGTTTTCAACATTCGTGAGTGCTTGTAACTTGCCTAGACTGAATAAATAAATATGCAATTGAGCTCTGATGGGAATCTGATTTCAAATTGGGGAAGACACGAAAAATCTTCGGTTCTAATTTTCTTTAGAGCTTCAAGACAAAATTTTTCCACTAGTCATATGTTGCCAATGACATATAGCAGCGCAACGTATTTGTCGCGATCCGGCAGCGGGAAATGAAGAGAGTAGTGTAAGTAGGGCAAAAGACTCGGTTTTGGCCAGTACCGTCTTTTGGGCATTTGGGCCATCTGCCCTAATGTTTAGTATTTCTCAACACGATCATGTTAGAAACGAGGAGATACATTCCTATGTATAATAGGTAAAACCTAGTAAAACCTAGCTGACATTGAAACTCAAAGGTTCTTAAAATATTTTCTTAGTTAATTGATATTTCATCATCATCATTATCAGCCCTTTTATGTCTCCACTGCAGGGGCTCAGTCCTTCTTTATAGATGGTTAAGGAGGTTAGGCCAGACTGTCCACGCTGGCCCAATGCGGATTGGAGGGCATTAACTACTGCAAATGCAGCCGGAACCAACGGCTTAACGTGCCTTCCGAAGCACAGAGTATCTCGAGATAATAATTTTTTTGGTCACCCATCCCGTGACCGACCCTTGCGAAAGTTGCTTAACGACAACGATCGCTGGCAGCAGCGCTTATCCACTACGCCACCTAGTCACTTATGGATATTTACTTGTCTTTAATATGTTTTACGCACATTAAATACATATATCCAATGTGACTTTGTAATTTTATCAATATTTGCATGCTATAGCTGGTGGCTAAATGGGCTGAACTCAAATTGTAATTCAATCTACAATGTACCTCATTTAAAAGCAAATAAATTATTATTATTATTATATAAAACTACTTTAGATGGGTTAAATCTGGAATGGATCCGAATCCGATGTTAAATTTTATGGTAATACAAGCGAATACGGTTACAGCTAATTTTGTTTTTTTATCAAGGGCCATGGTAATGGCACACCAAAGTCGAGTCAACGAGACGAAGTAAAATGGAACTATCTTCTTTCTTGCCCTCATAACTTTGGTTTGAATTACACCAGATACATAAAATTCTTAAACAAACAAAGATACATTAAAATAAAATCTTATAATTTTGATTTTATCGCATAAAACCCGATTTCATCACTTATACACGCACTGATGATCACAAAATCTCGAAGTACTATGCTTCGAGAAGTAATAGAAAACTGAAATTTGGTATGTAAGCTAGCATTAGTATACAAACAATAGTAAAATTTTAAAACTTGGAACTTTGGCCTCTCATTGAACTAGTATAAAATTATAACATCTCGTTAGAGCCAAGCTTGTAATGTCGCAAACTCTACAGCTTATTCAAACATGTGTCTTGGTCGTTTCATTTATACAAATTATAACTATATACCTAATGTTAATTTGACGGTAGCAAAACGGCCGAGGAATACATTTTGAATAAGGTGATGAGTTTGTCATATAAGGGCTTGTAGAGTTAGAAGCCTGGCTCTACATGAGATCTGATAATTTTAGTGAGCCATATAGTATCGTCTTGGCAACAATTTACATGAAAATGTTTTTAGTGGTGTATTTGACTTATTTATACAACACTAGTATATACTAGTAATGTAGTGTTCATTATTTTTATAAAAACTGTACTGTGACGTTGTATACATGTGCAAGTATTACTTTTATTGAGTTATTTACGTTACGTTAATTTAGTATTCATATACACTTCATCACTAATGGATCGCATTAACTTTAAAATTAATTCGAAAGCATTCACAGGTAAGTAAATAGTTGTAAATTAATTACTTATTCGTTAAAACTTATAGACACTTGAAAAAGATTTTTTTTCTTTTTTAAAATAATGTTGTTACTTAAAAATTTTAATAATTTAAATTCTTCAGTGCTGTTGCGTCTGGGGTAGATCAATAGTTATAGAAGTCGCCTGGATTGCGAAAAGTTGTGGATTCGAGACAGTGGGCTACCTAAGACTGGTGGATTTTAAGGCATTCGTCATTAAATATATTTATTAATCAAGCACAATACAATATTTGATTAAATTAAATATTTGAATAATTAATATTTAAGCTCTATAGGTTACGGACAACATATAGATTTTATTTAAAAAAAAATAGTCGCCGTTATATTTATTATCAATTAAGCCGTAACGATATTTTTATATAGTTGGTAGCAACGTGAATGCTAACACGAGTCTGCTCGACTTCATACGAGGAAGAGCAGGACTTAAAGGCACCAAATACATGTGCAAAGAGGGAGGATGTGGTGCTTGCATCGTGGCAGTTGTAAGAAAAAACAGCACTATCATGGCAGTAAACTCGGTAAGTTTTATTAAGAACATAAATTCTTATTTTGGGTTTTCAACTTATTAATACAGGGAGGAGACGACTTTGTTTCTTCATTAAACTTTTCTCTATAATTTCAATAAACTTTGATAGACTAGTAGCAAGAAATGATGATTAATCGTTAAATTTTACTTAATTCTAGTGCATGGTCTCAGTTTTATCATGTTTAAATTGGGAAATTACTACAATCGAAGAAATTGGAAATAGGAAAAAAGGCTACCATCCTATTCAAACTACTCTGGCAGCGTACAGTGGCAGCCAATGTGGACACTGCTCCCCTGGGTGGGTCATGGCTATGTATAGGTATGAACATTCAATTATTATGGAAATATATTAAAGTCATATACTTAAATAATCATATACGTTGAGTTTTATTACAAAAGTCTCGGAGTTCCAAATTTCTTTGGATACCTGATCCAAATAAAATTTGGGACTCAGAGACTTTCGTACGGCTTCCTGGATTTCATTTTCTAGAAAAGGTTTTATTGAAAGAGTCTCCAAAGCTTCGTCGAATAAAATAAAATAAGAAGACTTTGAATCATAAATAAACTAATACATATTTTGATATTAATTTCCAGTTTGAAGGAAAGTAAGAAAAGTCTTGATATGCTTGAAATAGAAAAATCATTTGCCAGTAATGTCTGCAGGTGTACTGGTTATCGTCCAATATTGGAGGCTTTTAAAACTTTTGCTAGTGATGCACCAAAACCTCAAGACATTGATATCGAAGATTTAGGAATTTGCCAAAAACTGCAAAGCGTTTGTAACTTACGTGTTTGTCATATAGACGAATGGTATATTATCACAGAAAAAGAGGTAGAAGCACAAACAAAGAAAATCATACTTAATGATGGAAGCATTTGGTTTCGGGTAGAAGAACTAAATGAAATTTTCGATGTTTTCAATACTCAAGGCATTACCGATTATATGTTAGTAGCAGGAAATACCGCTAAGGGTAACTACTATTTCGTATTTTTATTATACTTATAAATATTTTTTAATATAGATAATCGTATTCTAAAAGTGTATTTTAAGTTAGATAATATTTACCATTTCTAATAATATATAAATTTTGATTTAATACACACAACACAGTACAAATTTAAATTTTCAGGAGCATACCCCATTCAAAGGTATCCTCGGATATTAATAGACATCAGTGAACTACCCGAATTAAAAACGTATATAGTCGATCAAAACCTGTTCATAGGTGCTGGAACAACTCTGAGTGAATTGAAAAATATTTGGGAGAAAGTTTCACAACAAGACTACTTCGGATACTTAAACATATTGAATAATCACCTTAAGTTAGTAGCTAATATATCTATTAAAAATGTAAGTAAAAATAAATAATAGTTCTCGAATACCTGTAAATAAGTTAAGTAAAATTAAACCCCTTATAATGCATAATTTCAAAGTTTTAAATGGCATAGAAACAAACATACGCCATTTAACTTTTTAATATTGAGACATATGTCAACTATATCTATTAAATGAAATAAAAGAAAATCTTGTATATTAAAAGCGTCTCGAGATTTTGACGCAATGAAAGGATTTACATTTCTCAGTATATTATTTATTCCATTCGATTGCTAATAAAGGAAAGGTTATAACCATTGAAAGAAGTATTTTTAATTTTATTATAAAGTCAGTTGCTATCTCATTTGTAAATATATCTAAAGATGATTTGACTTTTACAATTTTCCCAAAATATTTATAATTGCAGCCATTGTCTGGTATACTCTTATTTATTAAAAGGAATTATGTTCTTATTTTTATTTGTCTAATAAGTTACGGTATCAAGTTTGAAAGAATGTGAGAGTTTTTTGGCATTAGCAGATTTTTAAACTTTTGGGGAGATATTAAAGGCTTCTCTTTAAAAATAAGATTATTATACTTGGACCCTAACACCAAGCTTTGCTCGGAATAATATTGAAGAATTCAGATTAATGAAACTTAGCGATTTTTTAATGAGTCAGTGGAAATCATAACAATTTATTTTGCCTATTCTCAACTACTTAAGCGTTTTTCAATTTCATTTTATGCTTGCATAGAAGATACCGATAGACATATATTTTAATTTTCTCCTATTCGCAATAAATAAGAGTAAGCAAAACTCTTTCTTTCCACATTGACATTAATAAATCTAAAAAATGTCCATTTTCGAATCAGACTCTCCTAAATTTTTAAAAAGTAAAAGAGAAATAATAATTATATATTACTGATGTACAACTCCCAGGCCATTTCAGTTCTCATGTCATCGGAAATAATCCAAATTAAAGTTCCCTTAGGCGCTGAATAACACCTAGGATAATAATATGAATGGATAAAAAAAAGAAATTCGGTAATATTACATAACATGATGGGATGTAATTAAAGTGTCTTTTTTATTTCAGTTGGGTACAGTTGGAGGTAATTTAATGATTAAACATCAATATAATGACTTCCCATCAGATATATTTGTCTTATTAGAAACAGTCGGGGCACGGTTAACCATAGGTACCTATGTATATTTAACATTATTAATTTATTTTACAGTGAGTAGATAGGTTGCACAGTCGGAAATTAAGCGCATAGCATTTTTCTCTTTTGATCTATCTTTGATCTTAATACTATTCCTTCATCTATCACGTGAAGTCGATAATTAGTTTATGGTTTGGTTATTATAAATGAGCCGTACTGCGTTACTAGCTCAACTTTTAATCTAAAATCAATTGCAGTTACACAATTGATTAGAAGCGATTTTTATAATATTGTTAATTAAATCGCATACACACTGAATAAAGTTCAATCAGTTACCAATTTGACCCGCTTATATATACAGAAGAAGCAATACGGCAATCAAAGTATGATGGCAATAAAAAAGGTGCAGATAAGCGCCTTGCGAGGAAACGACCAACTGTCATAGTAGATGTCTTTGATATCTTACTATCTACATTGATTTTCTATTCTAATAATTTTATCTAAGTTATTATAACGTTTTACAGTATTTAATATGACAGAAAGGAATACAGTGACAATGCAACAATTTCTACGCTTAGACATGACCGGGAAAATAATCCTCAATGTTATCATGCCACCTCTTAACGATGACTTCAAAGTGGTAACGTATAAAGTAAGATAAGTAATTGCCAATACATGATATAAAATAGCTAATATTTCAATTAAAAAAAAAAAAAATTAATGTACGTATTACATTTGATCAACTTTGCCGCATTGACAATGCTCTATACTTAAGAATAGTATTAATGAAAATTACTTGATTTTTTTTATAATTATTTTTCATTAAGTAAATAAAATGAACTTTTTAGGTAATGCCAAAAGCACAAAATGCGCATGCTATAGTGAATGCAGGATTTCTTTATAAATACAATAGTAAAGATAATGTAGTAAGATCAGCCAGAATTGTTTATGGTGGCCTCTCACCGATTTTCATAAGAGCTGGAGGTACAGAGAAGTTCTTAGTGAACAAAAATCTGTTTCAAAATATGACACTACAATCTGCGATTGGAATATTAGAGAAAGAACTGGTAGTGTTCGAAAAACCTCCTCAACTTCCCGCTCTTTATAGAAAATCATTGGCTTTATCGCTATTTTACAAGGTAAAAATATTTTTACAAAGGAATTATTTATTACTGTTTATGAATATTAACCCTATTTATTTTATTATTCTGTTATTTGGTCAAAGTGATCCAGCGATTATGTCTATATTAATAATATAAAACGGAAAGGTTTGATTGTTTTTTTTTTTTGCCATCGAACCGGTTCCATAGCTTTACTCAGTTCTTTCAAAAAATCCTTTATTTACGAGGAGTTACATCAAATGTGGATGACAAATGTTATAATATGCGTGGGCAAGGTAAGGGACAAACAGCTAGTAATAAATAAAAACATAATTATTCAAGGGTTGTAACTTAAATTTTGTATAACATGTACTATGGTTTACATTACAGAGTCTGCTATCTTTATGTCCAACATTTAAGATAAGTTCTCAGTATCGTTCAGCAGTGATCAGACTAAATGAATCACGGCCGCTGTCAGTTGGGCAACAAATTTATACAACAAATCCATCTCTGTACCCTCTTAATCAGCCGTTACCAAAAATCGAAGCTTTAGTAAGTTTTATACATTTTAAACATATATTAATCACATACTATTTATTTGTTCTGTGTTGTTATGATTAAAATATTTGCTTCAACCAAAGGCTCAATGCTCGGGTGAAGCAATATATACCGATGATGAACTGGAGTTTCCAAATGAAGTACATGCAGCATTTGTGCTTAGTACTGTACCAAAAGGAAGAATTGACACCATCGATGCTTCAGCAGCTTTGGTGAGCATTATTATAGACATATGAGGTATTGATGTATTATTTTGTCTTCTTATAATTATTTCATTTTTATAAAAAATGTAGAACAAGCCAGGAGTAATTGCATTTTACACTGCAAATGATATACCAGGCTTAAACTCTTTTACTGTAATAGAAGATCCAACGGATTCAGCTAACGAAGAAGTTTTCAGTAGTGGAATAATAAATTATTTTAATCAACCTATCGGTGTCATTGTTGCTGAAACTCAAGTTAAAGCAAACGAAGCCGCAAAAATGGTTATCGTTAGGTATATAGATATTAGCAAGCCAGTTACAGATCTGATACAAGCAAAACTAGACCCAAACAGAATACAGTTATATAAAAGCATTTCCGCTCAAAACAAAGGAACAGATATTACTAAAGTAATAAATGGTAGTAGTACTATACGTGGACAATATCATTTTACATTGGAAACGCATGTTTGTATAACTCGGCCATCAGAAGATGGCTTCGAAGTATATTCTTCATCACAATGGGCCGATGCCGTTCAATTGATGATATCGAGAGCTTTGAGCATTGAACAAAATCGGTAAGTCTCCGTATAATTGTGGTGAGTAATACTAAGTAAAAATAAAATTAGTTGAAAACTACTATTATTTCACTGTTATTTGTATAATTTTTTTTTGTATAAGTATTTACGTCCAAGTGAGAAGAGTAGGCGGTGGTTATGGAGTAAAAGTATCCAGAAGTACGCAAGTAGCTGTGGCTTGCTGCCTCGTGTCGCAAAAATTAAATAGACCCTGCCGTTTCGTAACACCATTAACTGTGAATACTAAAGCATTTGGTAAAAGATTCCCGAACAATGCAGATTATACGGTAAGTTGTTTTTTTACATTTGATTGCTATTATCATTACATTTTACAAACACAAATTACGTTACCATTTCAGGTCGCAGTTAATACAGAAGGTAAAATACAATATCTCAACTTGAATTTATATGAAGACAACGGATATATGATAAACGAACTACTAGTAATGTTAGCTTATCCGAATTTCAATAATTGCTATGATAGTTCTTGTTGGAACTATAATATTTATAACATTACAACCGACACTGCCAAGAACACATGGTGTAGAGCACCAGGTGAGAAATATGTTTTTATACCTTAACCAAAATTTAAATTTACTAAGTTTAAATTGTTATAACATCACTGAATATTAGAAAATAAATGATTGGATATTTTTCTGCTTTTAAGGCTCACTAGAAAGCATTTCAATGTGTGAAATAATTATGGAACGTATATCATACGAACTTAATTTGGATCCAATTGAAGTTCGCTTAGTAAATTTAGATCCTCTAACAGCAATAAACAATATTGAAATGTTAAATGATTTGAAAGTGAAATCAGATTATGACATCAGAAAAACTGAAGTTTTAACATTTAATTACGATAATAAATGGAAGAAAAGGGGACTGAGGTTTTCTTTCATGCGGTATAAAAATAATGATCCTCGTTATTACGATTTTAATATAGCTGTATATCACGGCGATGGATCTGTAACTATCACGCCTGGTGGAGTAGAAATAGGACAAGGAGTTAACACAAAAGCTGCACAGCTGTGTGCCCATTTATTAAATATACCTTTGAATAAAGTCAACGTGGCGATTATGAATACGAGAACAGCTCCTAATAGTTCTGTAACTGCAGGCAGCGTTACAACACAATTCACAAGTATCGGTATAAGTAAATGCTGCAAAGAATTGTTGAACAGATTACAACCTGTAATGAAAGTGTTACCTAATGGTTCATGGGAAGAAATAATACGAAAAGCATACGAAATGAATATAGACTTACAAGTTCATGGATTTGTCAATGATGAAAATGTTATTAATTATTTTGTATACGGTGTAGCTCTATCAGAAGTAGAAGTAGACATATTAACAGGAGAATATGAAGTCGTACGTGTAGATATATTACAAGACGTCGGGCAAAGCATCAATCCTGATCTTGATGTTGGTCAAGTATGTAACATGCAGTGTTTCCAGTTGTTCAATTATTATTGGATGCGCAGTTCTAGCCAGTAAAATAACACTTAACAATTTGACATTTGATTTGGCTTACTGCTTTATTAAGAACTAGCTTTTTTCTCGCGACTTGACTTAATATTTTAAACAGGAAAAAGATCTTAAAATCCCTTAAGAATTCTTAATAACAAAGACGGTAAAAAGTTCGAGATTTTTTTTGTTTTCTACCCAGCATATCTGCTGTACATGCTTAGAACTATCTGAGTGAAATCAAGTTTCTTGAGCTTCTTAATAAGAATTATTTCTATATATTATTAAAATTTAGTTTTTTTAAAGAAAAAAAATAAATAGTTTTTACTGAGAAACCTGCTAATTTTACAAGCTTACAAAAAAAAATTGGTATTCTATTATTCAAAAATAATTTTCATCTTCACTTCATAAATTGATCTATTTGAAGTTTAACAATCACATATCATACCTCTGTATAGAATATTATAGTTAATTTGTGTAAATAGTTTCAATCTAAAGATTGACACCATGCTGGTTTAATTTTAATTAATATCGGCCTATTTTATAAAATAGTTATTTTAATACAAAACTTATTATTAAACTGTAAAATGCTAATATAATAAGAAACAAGTCTCTTTATTCCTTAGACAATTGTTTATTTATTAAGTTTTTAGATGGACTGATCAACATGCTCAGGAAGCAAAGCACTGATTTTCAGTATTTATTAATTTATAATCCTCTTATTCCTTCAATTGAGTCCCTTTTAGCTCTTTATAATGTATCTTTTTTAGGTGGAAGGAGCGTTCACCATGGGGCTGGGTTATTGGACATCAGAGAATTTAGTATATGATAACTGTACAGGAGAATTACTCACAGATAGAACTTGGAATTATTATGTTCCTCAAGCAAGGGACATACCACAAGATTTTCGTATATATTTCAGGAATAATTCATATAGTCCTCCTCAAATTTTTGGCGCGAAAGGTTCTAATATTTTATTTTATAACTTTTGTGTAAAAAGTTTATATCACTGTTTAGCAAAAATCATAAGTATTCAATGCATTTAAAATGATTGTTAAACATTTGTTAAAATTTTTATTGTTTTCTGTTGTGATTGTTCAGCTGTTGGAGAGCCACCTTTATGCTTAGCAATTTCAATAACTTTTGCTATCAGAGAGGCAATCGCATCAGCGCGAACTGATACTGGAATTCCGAAAAACATGTGGTTCGAAATTGGTATGTTTATTTTTATCAAATGAAGCGAACTTTAATTTTAGTTAACCTTTTGTTACCTTTTTATTGGTATATTTATATATAATGGAGTTCTCTTGAGTATTTTTAAAAATTGGAAGAATAAAAACACAACGTAAATAACACACTTATAATAAATTTTAAAAACATTAATACGATCGTCACGACATACAAAATTGAACAATATTTATAACAAATATAAATATTTTTTAATTGTATATTTCTTTATTATGATGAGATTATTCATTACTCTCTAATTAATGCGTTTTAGAATAAAATTACTCAGGATCGATATCATCTCAAAAAAATCTTGTATCGGTTCAAATTATGTAAAACAAAAAAGAAAAGAGATTTCCTTTAGATACTATAGTTACAGATCAATAGTACATTGAATACATGAATAATACATAGTAATATAATGATACTAAAGTACACATGGCCGCACGTCGTAGTATAGATTGTGAACTACAAATGTCTGCTTACGGTGCGGTGGTGGTGTGATGCATGACGTGCGGCCTTGTGTACATAACATTCTGTAATAACCCTTCCTAAGAAAATCTGATTAGTTTAAATTGGTTGACAGTTACATGGACTAATAATGTTCATTCAAGGTTTAATCTTATTTAAAACAAAGGGATTTTTAAGTTAAATAGCACTTTTTTAAATTGTTTGTACTGTCTCTGTTGGCCTCACTAGAATATCAGTGCAGTGGGCTTTACTCGGTATTTATACTGAGTTAAAGATTGGCCTATAATAATATTATAAAGAGGAACGGTTTGATTATTTATTTGAACAATTGGACCGATTTTGAAAATTCTTTCACCTACGGAAATATTCATAATACATATGCAGTGAACATTGGCTATAGTTGATACCCGAGAAATAGCAAATAAAGGGATAAAGAATGGTAGTGAAAGTTTGTATGGAAAATTAAAACGTTGGCATAGTAACCATTGTTTACTACTTATTTTCTTATCGTAATTATATCTTTGTCATTAAATGAATCGATTTACAAAATAAACAGTTCCCTAGGGACCATGCGGGCGAAGTTGCTAGGGAAAGCTAGTATTTTTATATTTATTATGTAAGTGATAATTTTATATATTTTAGACATATTTTATCATTTAAATGATTTATATATGTATTGTCTAAGTGATATGTGTTATCATTTTAATGACTGTCTTAAGTAATCTATGTGTATATGTGCATTTTCTCGTTTCAGATGGGCCATATACATATGACAAGGTATGGTTAGCGTCGAATATCAAAAGTTCAGATTTTAAATTCAATTAGATGATAAACAACCAGCTGCACAAACGTCCATTAAAATTTTCAATACTTTAAAGTGAAACCCGTACAACCCGTACAAATTTGACATTCGTTAGAACTTAAAGGCGTAATTAAACCTTAATGGACGTTTGTACAGCTGACGAAAAATCTCAAATTTTATGTTTGGTTAAAAGAAAGATATATACATGATGAAGTACTCTCTCGTCATCTCTATTTGTATGTGTAATGATGTTTGTCATTATTGTCATAGTTTTTCTCATGTTATTTTCCCATATCTGTTTTATAAGCTGAATAAAGCCTTTAATTCTCGGGGCTTGTCTTAATTTCATAACAATACAATACAGTATTCTTTAGATTATTATATTTTTTATACTAATTGTATTGCTTATATAGATTTCTGTGGCTTACTCTGTGAAAATAAAGGAAGCATTCCAAAGAAACAATTTTCAAACACATAATAGATGATATCAATCTATAATCATACAAAAAAAGCTTTACCCTGACTTTCTAACCTATGGTGGCCATACACGTTAGTATAGTACACGTTAGTCTAGTAAATATGGAGTGCTACAAATTAGAATTCCCTTACTTGAGGTCTCTTTGGCTTTTACATTACCCTCTATTGCTACGTGAGCAGGTAGCTACTGTTGCACAATACTTTTATTCTTGTTAGTTAATTTTAGAATGGTCTTTATAATACAATAATCTTTCGGTGCTCCTCTAAAGTTCGATGTACATCGAGCCAAATGTTAGAGTGGAGATTTTGAGTCACTGAATATTACAATTTTATAGCAATTAATTGATTCTCTATAAGATAATGCTTCTGCTGTTGCAAACAATTCAGCATACATTATAGATATTTTCTTTACAATTTTAAGTTTAACGGAATCATTTGTAAGTTCGTCGTCAAAAAATGCTGCCCCTATGCCATTTTCGTCTAAAGAGTCATCCGTATGTATTTTATAAAATTCATAGTATTTTTTGCTTATATATTGAGTACATAGTATATTTTTTGTTTACCACGATTAATGATTCGCTTGACAGTTACCTCACTGACATCGAGAAACATATAACGGCGGGTAGTCAGAAGGGGCAATTACGAAGCCCAAATAGATCGTCCATATCGGAGGACTATCTTTAAAATAACACTGCAAGCGTGTATACCAACGTGGATTTGTTCCATTTTATCACTTTTCATACGAAAATATAACGAGATGAGCGATATGTCGTCGGATATCTTTACTCCTCGGCGATCGAAAACAGAATGTGTGCCAAAATGGCGGCAAATTGCTTTTTGTTAACGAACTGTCAAAGTCAGTGTCACCATTCTAATAAAATTAAAAGTATTGATGATCACGCTCTCTCTACAATCGAGTAATTAAGTAATCGAGTAACTAGCAATTAAAATAAAAGAAACTAAATCAAACGATCTTCGTAAAGATGATGCGACATATATATATATATATATATATATATATATATATATATATATATATATATATATATATATTAATTGAATTCGGTATATTCTCTGTCTCTATTATTGTATGCCACTGTATATTAGTTACGTAACCAAAAATGTTATAATAAGCTGATGTTACTATATAATACTGCTGTATTATTAAAACGAAATTTTAATTTTCGTAGTTTTTGTTGTCGTTATTGTTCTTTGTTTTTTTTTTTAAATGTTGCTTTTGTTTTTAAACTTATGTTTTTCGTTTTATAATGTAGCTTAATTAATAGTGTTTCGCAAACGTATCGTGTGATATCACGCATTAATATTTTTAAAAATACTGATTTGAGAAAGCAAACACAAGCTAAGTCTATAACTGTTACAACATATATGGCTATATATAATTAAGTCGTGTGTTGATGTTTATTAATTAATAAAAACATTAAAAGGTTTAAAGTCGACGCTTGTACATTTTATTATTCCTATATATTCTCAACAAATCCATCTTGTCATTTTTTATCCCGCTGCGCTGCATGGAAGAAGGCTTATATAGTTCCTGTGTCTAAAAAATCCCAGCCTGATCACTTTTCCGACTATCGGTCTATTTTCAAATTGCTTTTCCTTACCAAAATAATTGAAAAGTAGTTTATCAACAGTTTAGTAAATTTCTGTCCTTCTTCTTTCCGTACCAAAAATAGTACAATTACCGCACTTGTCAAGATTGTGAATGATATACGGGCAGGAATGGAAAAACGGCAGCTCACCATACTGAATTCAGTATTGCGTTCAATACTTTTGATTTCGAAATTTTGTTAGCAATGCTGATTTATCTCAATGAATATTCACCGATGATTGTTTGGTTACATAGTTACCTGTACGGGAAATGACAACGCATATGTATAAGAGACACTCCCAAATTGGTGCTGTACAATAGCCGAAGTTCCACGGGGTGGTTTTTGTCTACGCTCCTGTTCTCTATTTCAATAATTCAATAATCCTTCTTTTATCTTCTTTTTATGACATGAATGCAGGCGATTTCCGAATTTATGGTCAAGCTACGGGGGAAGAACTACCTACTGCAATTGCCATCATTAACAATGACCTTGAATATACGAGAGCAGGATGATAAATAGCTAGCCTAGCATAGAAAAACTTGAATTAGGGTGTTAAAAGTATATTTATTTTTCAACATAGTTTCCTTGAAGCGCTATGCACTTCATCCATCCATGCTCTAAAGCCTTGATGCCATCCCTGAAGTGGTTTTCTTCAAGCCCTTCAAAATAACTGTCCACGGCAGACATCACCTCGCTATTATTTTCAAATCTTTGTCCATCTAAAAAATTTTTGTGCTTAGGGAATAGATGAAAGTCAGATGGTGCCAGATCAGGAGAATAAGCTGGGTGTGGTAGCAAATCATAATTTAATTCTTTGAAATTCGCCATCGCAATGATGCACGTGTGAATGCGCATTTATGCGCATGCGCATTATCCTAATGAAAGATTTTTTTTTAGCCAGGACGGGTCTTTTTCACGAATACACATTTTTAATTTATTCAGTAGATCAGCATAATATTCGCCATTTATGTTTTGTCCTTTTGGACGGTAATCTATCATCAATATACCCTTCGAATTCTAAAAAACTGACGCCATGGCTTTCCCCGCTGATTTCGGGGCCTTTGCTTTCTTTGGAGCCGGGGATCCTTTTTCCGTCCATTGTTTAGACTAAATTTTTGATTAAGGTATATACAAACCGTCGCAGAAAATTCGTTGTATTCTCTTAAAGCGGTCCAAACATTCTTGTGAAATTTGCATACGAACGCGTTTTTGGTCAACTGTAAGCAATCGCGGCACCCACCTTAATTCTTGAGTCAAAATGTAATGCGCCCGTTCTTTAGAGATGCCTACAGTATCAGCTATCTCGGAAAGTTTCAGTCTTCGGTCAGCTTAAACTGCATCATGAATTTTGATCACAATTTCTGGAGTAGTGGCACTTTTTGGACATCCTGGACGATGTTCATCTTGGGTGCTGGTATGGCCACGTTTAAATTCAGCCACCCAATTTTTTATGGTCGCATATGTAGGAGCATTTTCTCCCAAAGCATCCTTCATCTCCGAAAAAATCTCTCCACCTTTTAATCCTTTTAAATGCAAAAACTTTATCACAGCTTGTAGCTCAATTTTATCCATTTTGCAGAAAAAACAAAAGAATGCTTTTTGAAATGTCAATATTTAAAAGAAAAACTATACGATCGATTTGAAATTTGAAACACTGGCAGCTAATGAACCAACGAGTAAAATATTAAGGAGATTTTATATCGTTATTATACAAGATATGGGTTGGGCTAGCTATTTATCATCTCACCTTCGTATTTCTGATTGGGGCCGACGACTGATTGGTCTATGTATCGACCTTCTAAAATCTCAGGCGATCATCATTGGAAGTCATTGTTATAAGGCTAGGTTAAATTTTGGTACACTGCCACCTATTTTAATAATGGCAATCGCATACCATTTCAAGAGTCAGTTAAAAATGTTGCTGTCATCTTCAATTGCAATATGTCTTGGAGTCATCATGTTCGAGAAGTTAGTAGGAGGGTTTTGGTGCGTATGGTACGCTCAGACGACTTAAAGATCTTTTGCCGACTAAGGCTAAAATCACTCTTGCCCAGTCCCTTCTTCTCCCACTGGTTGAAAATGCTGAGTAACATGACTCAGAGCTAAATGTCATTTTCCTTAACAAACTTAAGCATCTTTAGATTTTGTATATCCGTTTCGTCTTTGATCTACGAAGTATGATCATATTTCTGATTATCGAACTCTGATTACTTCAATGGGTACCTATCTCCCGTCGAAGGGACTGTCATATCCTGTCACTCTTATATTCCTCAATGTTTCATACCTCAAGGAGCGCTTCATCTTTCACGCTTCGAGTCCTATCCGAGATCTGCGGTCTTCCTATAACTTATCTTTAGTTATCGCCTCCCACAATACTGATTTCCTACATATCCTCAACAAAGTACCTATAAACTGAACTCATTTATACAATCGATAAAGGAACATTTCCTCAAGTTGGACTATTCTTCCTGAACGCGAACGTTATTTTTCAAAAGTACCAATCCACTGAATGGCATTAAAATTTTTACATGTATTTTTTTTAATTACAATCTTTTCTACAATCTTTTTTAAATTCTGTTCTCTATTTTCTTACATATTTTCCATAAATCTCTCAAATATTTTTTCTAATGTACCTGTGTCTTTTTAGTACGCAGCAGTGAGTTGGTTTCGATTTAGTTAGTGTTGTTTTGTGTGGCTTACGACCATGATTCCTTCCCTTATTCCAGACGAGAAAATTAGTCAGGAGCTAGTTTTTACTTTTTATTGTTTTCTTGGCCGATCATTTTGTGATACTTACAAAATATGCATTTTTGAAATAAAATAATTAGGCCTTTTCTTTTCCCTCGTGAGTGTAACCGGGTTTTAGACCACAATGTGGGTAGAGGGGTGAGCAGAGATTGAAAATTCAGGGTGAGGCCAAATCATAGATCTGTGTTGTCAAGTTTTATAGTTAATAATATAGCTGGTTGGTGCCTACCTCCATAGGTAATTAGGTGGGTTCAATATCCAGGGTGGAACAAATGCTTTCCCCCTGTCGGTGTGTAGCAGTAGCAGATCAATTAGATACGTTCCAATGATCAAAATCGTAACCTCTTTTTACTTCGTTGTAGTAGGGGTAAAGAAGGAGAGAAGACGAGTAATTTGTTTACTATGTCTCTGTGTATGTGTGTGTAGTACACGCTTTTGATTATTATGTGATGGTGTATAATGAAATAAACACTAAAAATACAAGTAATAAATTATAATTTATTCTAAAATAAAACCTATAAGGTTCCTATAGTAAATATGAAACGAAATAAAGGATTTTCATCGTTTTTGCAACCCACTGGTGTGAATTTCCACTCGGTTAATTTTTTTCTCTAATTCTTCAATTTCTTTTAGCTGTCTTTCTCTATTAGCAGTCCAGTCTTCCCTTTTTTCCCTGTTTACCTTTAATGAATTGCGTAAATGTTCACTGATTTTCTTATCTAAAATATTTTCGATTATCTCTTGCTCAGGAAATTTCTTTTTTCCTGGATCTTTTTGAATTTGTTGAGGCTGCGGTAAAAATAATTATTGTTTGTTATTCAAAATAAGTGGTTAAGTACTATAACTTTTTGTATCATATTAACGCTTCAGTTTAAGGTGTCATCGACGCCTTAGAATCAATTTCTAAGGTCCTGATCAAGTCAATGTACAAAAACTAACTTTTGTATGATTTGTTTCTGGTCTGAGAGTTTCCATAACACAAGGGCTTTTACTACATTGTTTCGGATTTTTAAATATTTAATTTATTGACGTCTCTGTAAAATCGAGACAGCATGTACTATATTTTATAACTAGCAATTTTCCCGCGGCTCCGCACGCATAAATTATCTTATCTCACCGGTCATGATGTGCTAGTAGATTAGCATAGATGAAAGAATTTTCACAATTTGATCACTATTTTCGAAGAAACTTTACCTACGCATTTCATACTTTTTAATTAACATAAAAATATATATCGTATATAGTAAATAAATATTAAGGATATTCATTAAAAGTTTCCACATAAACAAGGATTTTGTTTGAAAGCTTTTTCTTACCGTTGTTATTTTTTAACTGGCTTTAGAATTGTATTCTGAAAACTAGAGAAAAGCAATCGAATATGGAATATAATACTTAATATGAAATATTGAAATTTCTTTCTTATATCATTCCTTGTCATCATTATCATGCTTTTTTCGACCCCACTGAAGGAGTTCAGGCCTTCCTTGTGGATGGTTATGGTTAAACCTCCATGCTGATTGGAGGGTATTAATGACTGCAAATGCAGCCCAGACCAACGGCTAAACGCGCTTCCGAAGCATGGAGTAGCTCGAGATAATTAAGTTTAGGTTACCATCCCGTGCCCAACCCTTGCGAAAGTTGCTTAACAACAACGTTCGTGGGCCGCGGCGCTTATTCACTACGCCAACGAGCTACTACCAAGCTCATGTCATTCCTTTTAGCAGAAAATTTGTAAATTATCAATAAGTCCAACGAATAAATTATTAGTTTATTGATTTTCTTTACTCTATTACAAAATTAAATTAATATTTTGTATAAATTGATTTAATTATTCTATTTTAGATACACTATTGTATAATTGCTTTCCTCTACTAATAAGTTATTTACTCACAGTGGACGATTTCATTACTTTTTTATCTTTCTTGTCGCAATTGAAACAAAATAGTTTACGTTTCTTGTTATTTTTTAATTTTTGCGTTTCATTTTTACTATGGAAAAAAAACGGGAACTTCATCCGTTTAGATGCACTGAAAATGACACATTTTAATAAGCTTTTGGTACGGGGTAATTATTATTAAAAACAATACTACATTAAAATGCATAATTTCATAAGTACGAGTATTTATTATTATTAGTTCTTAATTCTGTTAGCTAACTTTTATGCTCTTCTAGATGCTTTGTAAAATGGGACAGCAATTCATTATTATTATTAGCCTACTAATGTTCTTACAGTCGGAGCCTTCTCTATGGAAAGATTTACAGTGGATGAACGGTCCCTAACTCGCTATGAACGCCAAACGCTAATTTTGATTATTACTATAGCCAGGACTAATAAATAGCTTAACGTCTTTGAAATTGATCAATCTCCTCAATCACACGAATCCACTAATCACTCACTAATCACTAATCATATATATATATATATATATATATATATATATATATATATATATTTATATCAAATTGGATCGCAATAGTTAATAAAATTGACCATCATTTTCATACTCTGGTCGATTACCTACCTCACTCATAAGGATGCTATTATACAAAAAAGCAAAGCAATATAATATAATATACGATATTTCTCTCTACATCAACTTATTGAAAAAAGCGAAATGATATAGTATTTCGCAAGAAAACCTTCATTTCTGTGCAGAATGCTATCGCACGAGGTGGTATCAAATGACATTAAATCACTGAATTGCGATTCTATGCTCTACCTTTCTTTCCGTGCTCAAAACTATTCCGTTTTGTTGTATTAACAAAGGAAATTGTTAATAAAGTAGACCACTCTGTTTTAGATCCTTTAGATGTTTCGTTATAACATCACTCGTTGATAAGGATTAGTCTTACAAATAAATAAACATTAGCAGAAAAGGATTTGAAATCGGGTCTGAATCCACGGCTAATTCAGCTATTCTGACAAGGTATTAGCATAACAACAACAGGCACACACATAAAATGAAATGAGGTAAATCGGTTTAAACCATTGGTCACCTAAAGCAAATTCATAATAACAGAAAACGTGAAGTTAAGACGTGTTGACTTATAATGATCTTATGTTTCAAATCTGGAGCTCCATTTTTGATTCCCTCGTTTAAAATCTCCTTGTTGTATATGCCCTAAGACACACTCGACTTCTAAGTCGTTTTTTAGTATTTTTGAATCGTTCGTCCGCAGAATGACCAACATGATTCGAAATATTGAATTTTGTTCTTCGTTTACTATAGGAAATATTTTTTGCCATATAATTTAAAACAAATACTGTGTATGTAAACAAAACGGACATAAACGTCATCTATTCATTCGTTTCAACGTCATTTATCCGTTTCATGTTTGGATGTATATTCTATCACTCGCATACAGCGTTATCGGCGCATACAGTGCAAATCAGTAGGAAACGAGGGCTCGACGCGAGATGAATCATTCAAAATAAATCTACTGGTACTAAAATGAGCCCTCATTTTGTAATTAGACGGTTAGAGTTCAATTTAAACGTACCTTTTTTTCACAGGATTATGGTTGAAGTTAGCATCAGTATTGTATAATCCATATGGATGCTTAAGAACATTAATGGACGGCTCAGCCTCGAAGTTTCTAGTTATTTTCTTTTCCTTCCATCTGTGTCCATTTATAGGTTTAAACTTTGCATATTTTGAATTTATTGAGTCTTCAAATAAAACTTGATTGGCATTTAATTTTGATCTCTTGGCATCTGCTGAGCTTAAATAAATTTTTGAATCGTCTGCTAAGTTTTCAATCAATGGTGAACCATAATCTTGGTAAGATTTCAATTTCTTTTTGCTGAAAATATAAAAAGAAAATTACAAATTTAATCGTATCAATACAAACAAAATCCTGGGAGAAACAAAAACTTTTCTTCAGAAAGTCTTAATTGAAAATTAATATCATGCCTTTTTTGAGTATCCTTTTGAAAGCGTGCATCTTCGATAGCATATTCATCAGGCTTATGAATAAAACTAGCCACATCTATCTGAGCCACAGGCTCTTTAGAATTAATTATCTCATAATCAGGGTGTCTTTTTAGCGCACTATACTTAGTTTCAAATCTATTCTGCTTATGAATTTTCTTTTTATGTAATGGTCTGTGCTCATATTTATATTTCGAATTTTGGCTATCTAAAATATAATCATAACATAAAGAATATTTAATAGCAAGTGATATACACAATATATAAAAATATCGTAACATGTTTGTGTCACATGGCCGCCCATGAAATGACAGTTTGCATTATGGTCTCAGAATTGACAAGAATGGCCAGTAAGTACCAAAGAGAATCTAAACCTTGATCCTAGTTTAAATAGCATTTCTATTTTAGTCAATATTTTTACTTTGAGCAATAAGACTAACAAAAGATACCATTACGTTACCTTAATCCTTATATGTACGTTACTTTAATAAGTATAATAAAACTCATCAGTAACTACAAAACCAAATCATAAAAACAACAGGAATATCTTATCAGAAACTCTTATCGATTTTTCAGACAGAGAAAAAAAAAAATGTTTGTTATATTAGATCTCATAGAAATTGGGGCTGGTGTATTTTAAGCATATTTTCGTTAAGAAAAAATATTTTTTTTTATCCAAGCTTTTTTGGTCTAGGAATCTGAAATAGACGAAACAATCGAATCTAAGCTCGACAAAGTTTCTTGGCCAGATAGTTAGATATGGAAGGAAGGAACTATTAATGATAGTTCCAGTTTCATCATCAGACCCTAAACTATCTGAGACCAGGGTCCTTATCGAGACAAAACCAAACAGGCCAAATTCGATAGTCGAATTTCAATCTGAGAAGTTTATTTATGAACTTCGTGGATCCATCTTTAGATCAGCTCCAATCAGATCATTTTGTGAGTTATAAATGGTGTAAGCAACACAACATCGCTTTGTTTTACCATTCTTATCTCTTTGAGTGGTGTATTGAAAATAAATAACTTCAGAAATATTTTCTGCTTTCTACTTCTTATGAACTCGTTGGGCATGATATTACAAAGCGCCCGTTATTATAAACACTAATAGAGAAACACTTATATTGGGACATTAATATTTTCGTTAAAAGTTCGCTTGATATGAATTTAATATATCTCTAATTTTGTATTAATAATCTTGAAGATAAAATTTCGCCTACTAAATAATGTTTGTAGATTATTAGCTCCAAATGCTTATTTCTTAGAGAACGGTCGCTTCTAATTGGAAGAACTTCGACTAATATCTGCAATGTTTTTACATCCAACGATTTCGTTTAATAATTTTAAACCAGCAACATCACAATTACAATTTTTAAATAATTTTAAATAAAAAAAATCTTGTTTTTTAAGTTAAGTTTAAAGTTATGTTAAAAAATAAGTATTCTATATCGCCATAAGTTGTCGTATGTAAGTAATGAGCTTAGCTCTATTCATTATAATCACTATCACCGGCCCAGCCATTAGCTGGGGACGCCATAATAGGCAAGTTAAGTTTACAATTCGCCATAAGTAATCTTGTTTTTATCGTTGCTTGTTTCATTTTAGAATCTATGTTTCATATTAATATTAACTGATTAAAATATACACAATCGGTATTTTAATAATAGTGTTACTTTTATTTTTCAAAACATCCGCGATCTATTTTCGATCTGTTAATGTATGAATGTGGTTTTTCTTTACACCTAAATTGATAACATAAACAACATATTACGCCCAGTATAATATCCTTACACGTTAAGCATAGAGAAACAAAAATAAACAAGATTGCTTACTATCAATCGTGACAGAGTCATATTTATCGTTTCCATATCGTAAGTTATAAAGATATGTTTTACTCTATTAACAGTCGTGCGAAGTATCCGTGTGTCGCAGTCAGCGAGGTTCTTATTGGACATTACCGCTTAGCTTCCTTAGTTAATTGCTTGAGATGCTCTTATTGTCTTAGGGAATTCTGCTGATAACGAACTACATGGATGCTTTTAGAGGAGTTGCTAATTTTACCGTTTCATTATGAAATTCCAAAGCATTAATTTTAACTATTATTTGTAACTTAATTATTATAAATTTGAAAGTCCTGGTATGAGTTTAGTTTTATACAGTCAATAGCACGTCAGGTTATACGAAACTAATACTTTTCTCCACTGCACTTTTAACCTTCATTAAATTGGAATTAAGTTTTAATAAATTGCCGAACCTTAATAAATTATAATAATCTGATGTGTTGGGATATGTACGTAAGTAAGTTTCTTTCATCAAATATTTGTTTAAAATAAACAATAAATGAAAATAGTGAAAGTAATATTTAGTATTAGTAAGAAAAAAAAATTAGAAACGACAGATAATCTTGGATAGCGGTTATGAAGGCAAGAGTGTTTTTGCATGTTACAAAGAGAGAAGAAAGAGTGATCGTTGAGATTACAGTTGATTGAAATGTATGAATGTAGTAAATATAGAACTAATGTTATTTTTTATTTAATATAAAAATCGATTTACGCTTTTATATCGTTTCGAAATAAGGAAAACGAATGATCAGTTACTTAACAATATATAGTTTTACAACTATTGTGTGAATGTCACATGAATGATGTTGTGCTTTTTTTGAATATATATTTTTATAACTATTAAATAAATTCCCATCCCCGTGACTTCTAAAACTATTGAGTAAAAAAAAACGTTATTTATTTATCCAACAAGAATCCCGTAATTTTTAAATTCAATACTTGTACGGTGTCCTTTGAGAGTGACTCTAACACCCAAACTCACTTGCTATTGTTATACGTACGAGTATTAATCTCTATTTATTTTTATTGAATATAAAGGACTATTATTAATAGCTCTATTGATTATTATAACCATCACCGGCCTATTAACGTCAACATTACTTGGGCTCAGACCTTCATTATGGATGAAATCGAATCGAATAAGGAGAATGGGCCAGACGCACCAAGCGGGCCCAGCGCGGATTAGAGCGTTTTAACGACAGCAGATGCAGCCGGGGCCAACGGCTTAACGTGCCTTCCGAAGCACGGAGGAGTTCGGTTTGGTAATAATTTTGGTCACCCATCCTATGATGGGCCATTGCGAAGTCGATTAACAACCGTATCGCAGATCGAGCGCACCAGCCACTGCGCAATAGAGCTCCTCGCTCAAATGATTTTAATATCTTAAATTAATGTCAGTTTTTAAGTCATTATATATTTTACATCACGAAGGTGAATACAAACTTCGGGATTAGATCAACATTGTTCAATTATATTGTAAATTATTCTAACGAATCCCTTTAAAATGAATTAATGATGTAACAGTGAAAATGAATACGGCAACGGCGCTAACTACCATCACAGTGTAAAAATAAAGCAGTATCTCTGAATGACTACTAGGCTAGTTGACATTTTATAAATATATAGTCCATTAATAACCTTAAAATGTATAAAGAAATAATGTAGATGTGGAACTGCTGCTAGTCTGCCGAAAACGCTCCTTACAAATTCAAGGCATAAAGTGACGTCACACAGTGCACACAGTAGTAGCGAAAAATGTGTGGGCGTCTCGGTAACGTTATGTATATGTTATTTGGTTATTTGTATGTATATATGTAGGTATGTTTCTCTCGCTATGTAAGACACCATCTACTACCCATCTATTTAGTAACACTCCAGTCTAACTTGCGATTGCCTGGCAGAAATTGCTTTTTAGCGATAAGGCCGCCGATTGTACAACTAAACTTTATCAATTGTAATTTTTCTATAATTTATGGTGTACAATAAAGAATTTATTCATTCATTCATTCAATTCTCTGCTAATGTTCAATTAATATATTTTCCCTACTTTTAACAAGTTTTTTAACAATAACTTTTAACAATATTTTCCAAACATATAACAGTAATCTGTATATTCACTTGTAACACACAACCCTACTAGTGAGAATATGATACGTATTTGATAAATTTTGCATTCACTATATCCTATTATATCTGTCTTACACATACTTCAAAAATTTTATCATTTTAAGTGGTTCGAACCCAATCTTAAACACTTGAGATGGGATTCTAACATATTATCTGGGACCATCAAATTAAAATAAATACCTTGATATATTTTTTTAAAGAATAAAATTTAGCATTAGGTATGATGACTTTTATATTTCTTATAGCACAGATTGGTCTGTTAATAGCATATGAGAAAGTATTCTAATTCCATTTATTACGGTGTCAATTTTAATGATTATTCGAAATCACACGATCAACAGGCTTATTTAAATATATATAACTCAAAGGTGACTGACTTACATAGTGATCTATCAACGCACAGCCCAAACCACTGGACGGATTGGATTGACTGAAATTTGGCATGCAGGTAGATTTTATGACGTAGGCATCCGCTAAGAAAGGATTTTGATCAATTCTATCCCCAATGTGAAAAAATAGGGGATGAATATTTGTATGAAACTTTGTCAATTTTAAACAGATCGGGCTGAAACTTTGCATGTATACTATGACATAGGCATCCCCTAAAGCTACTATGACATAGGCATCCCCTAAGAAAGGATTTTCATCAATTGTATCTCCAAGGGGATAAAATAGGGGATGAAAATTTGTATGAAACTTTTATCAATTTTAAACCGATCAGGCTCAGACTTTGCATGCATAAAGCTGCTATGACGTAGGCATCCCCTAAGAAAGGATTTTGAAACTTTATTTCAGGTATTTCATACGATATAATGAATAAATATTCGTTAGAAATGCTTTTCAAGGTTAGTTTAGCACGCGGACGAAGTCGCGTGCAGTGACTAATAATTCAGTAATAGAAATACGATGAAATTAACACACGTAACTACTTGAGAAAATGTCATAACTTAAGGAAATATTTTTAACCAATAGACGAGAATCTGAATGAAGGAAGGACCGTTAATAGCTAATAATAATAGTTTTCTAAGTATTCTTGTTTATTTGCTAAAAATATCTCTAGTGATTACTTCTCTTGACTATAGATGCGAGTGTAAGACCAAAGTCAACAAAACATGAGTTACTGTATCTTCTTCTTTACTATGGCAAGACATTCGTGTCGTTAAATTAACATCTACTGTTCAATTCACTCGGGTTATGTTCTCTTTAATTAAGATTGCGTTTACATTCAACTATTCAATATTTAGTTATACTACAAGTATTAAGGCTTGTTTTCATCAATGCATATTTGTTGTTTGACCTAATAACATTATCTCATTAAAACCAACTTTTCCAATAAGCAGGCATATACTTTTAAAACTATATTTATTTACATCTTCACGCCGTACATTTTAATACTATTCAAACCAAAATTCATATAAATACTCTTACAACAACTAATTAGATAATTGTAAAAATGCGTAACCTGTAATATTGTTGTAACAAATCTCATTTTTATCAAATCAATTTCTCGATTGATATCATTGTGCAATAATTCTGTTTGCATACGACTATGGTGAAGATAGGAAACATCGTGGTATATAATAGTTTCGTCCAATTACAGTATTTGTAACGTAGTGTAGTTACATAAATAATGGCCAGTGTAATGTAAATTCCCCCTTGTGTAAGTATTTTTTCGAACACAATTACAGCAACGAGTTTATTATTGAAATTGTTAAAACAATATTATATTCAGTAGTATTGTTATCGAGTTTCGTTATAAATCTAATTCAGGAAGGTTTTTGTGTCAAACTCTCCGTCTATTTAACCCAGATAAGCCTGAAACTAAAATTTTCTGAAAATTTTGAAAAAATTTACATTATTTAGTTTATTAGATCTCATGCAACATAAAAAAAATTATGAAAAAAAAATTAAGTGTAAGGCTTTCAGGGAAACAGCCGTCCTATATGTAGGACAGTAGGATAATAAGAGGAAATAAAAGATCATTTATGACAAAACAGAATGTAATCAAAAAGTGTAGTTTATTAGATAACTATTGATTATATTACCCATTGTTATATGTAATTTACTAGATTAACACTATTTATGAATGATATGTTTCAAAACACTTGACACACACTCCAACATCACATTTCTTGCAACGTGTCAAACATTTTTTGTGACATTGACGACAGTGTGTTTGCTTCGATTGAGGAATAACCAGATGATTCATTTGGTCTTTACGACTATCAGCATGTTCATGATGGGAGGGTCGGCTAGGCCCTCTTTTGGCATTTTTTCTGTTTGATTCAATCAAAGCAATTGCTACCCTTCTGCGAAAGCCAAGATGATCCAGTTTTCCATGATTTATTTTATATAACTGCCATGCATTATGTTCGGCAAGATCAATCATGTGTGTGAGCAACGGCATGTACCATTTCTTACCTCGTATACCAATTCGGTAATGTGAAATATTTTCATCAGACCGATCCACTCCTCCCATATATTTGTTATAGATGGACACCATATGTGGTTCTTCTATGACAATGTTTCTCTTTTCACTTTGTGAGAAGCGTTTGGCAGATTGTTTAGGATTTATTCCTACAGCATTAGAAGCAATACTGAATATATTATTGTCATGCCATTTAGCAATAATGAACGTGTTGTCATGTGTCGTTCTGTAATCGACAGCACCACGTTCCTTTTTTTTCAGTAACTTCGATGTAATCAGAGGACAACTAGATGTCCTGTTTTCTCGAACTGTCCCAGTGCAACGAAGGCCTTTCTTTGTTATCTCTTCCAGCAAGGGCGTCCCAGTAAAAAAATTATCAAAAACTACGTGGTAAGGAAGGTCGAAGCCACGTGAAATCAGCACATCGCAAAAAGTGAGAACAACGCTTGCACCCAGCCCCAATTCTTTATATATTGGATTGCACATAGTTGTAGCACCTTGGTATGGTTCCATCCATAAAACATACCCTAACCGTGTAGCACCAACCCAAGCTTTGAACCCGTACCTAATAGGTTTACCTTTTATGTGCTGTTTGCAGCCATGTCTACCATAGTAGGGGATCATGGTCTCATCTACACTGTAATGCTCTTCAAGAGGAGAAAACTCTAAGAACTTTTTATTTAGAAGTGTAACTAGGTGGCGTACTTTTGTGTATTTGTCTTGCAAATCCAGATTATCATTGACATGAAGGTGGCGAAAAATAAAGTCAAATCTATCCCTAGTCATAGCCGAGCTGATCAATTCATTCTTTGTATCAGGGGAGTTTTCCCAATACATTCTTCTACGGGGGAGCCATGAATAACCACTAACCAACAATATGCCGATGAAACATTTCATATCTTCAGTGGTTATGTCTCCAGGCAAATTCTTTTTGACAGCATATTTATTGCTCTCTGACACCAACAACGAAATAACATCTTCATCTAAGAAGTTTTCAAACCACTCAATTGGGCGCTTATCTTGGCAAGCGCCTTGAACATCTGGCCAATTCACGGGATTTTTTGCCAAGTCCCGTTTTCTCCATGCGTAGGTACGCCTACGTTTAGTTCGACCTGTAGAATCAGAAGGTTCTTCTTCTGTATCACTCACCATAATCTGCCCTTGAATCATTACTTCAGCCGGTTGAAGCAGAATGTTTCGTGGCAAATTATTCAAAGTTACATTATCTTCTTCACCCGAATCTTCGTCAGTGAGACAGTCAGGATCAACAGGAGGAGGTAGAATACATATCAGTCGTTCTCTATAATCTTCTTCATTATCAGAAACATTTTCTAAAGCATCTAAAATTTCATGCGCAGCTAACGGTCTGTAAAGAAAAAGTTGTATTATTGTACTAAAATCATGTATATTATCCTACTGTCCTATATATAGTACGCTAGTATTTGTAACAAGTTATACGTAATTTATTTATATTATTTTGCTAGAATATTTATTTAGTACAAAAGTTAAGGTTATCAACTAGATATTAACACAGAAAAAAACAACTCACGAGTAAAATATAACTTTTTATACATACCTGTCATTTGCCATGTCTGCAACGCACTTTTATTACACACTTATAAGGTAAAATATAAGGTAAAAACTGTTAAAATAACTGTCTTTTTATTTTTTCTAATTAAGCTGACACGTTTCTTACTGCAAATCATAAGACTAAATAATCTTAGATAAAGAGGGTATTCTGATATTTTTTTTATTTCTATTGTCCTAAATATAGGACAGTAGGCTTATCTGGGTTAAACCAGGTGAGGCAACTCAAATATCAAGTGAACTCGACATTTGGATGGAATTCAGACGGAGGTTTGTTGAAACTTGTAAATACAAAAGAGCTCGGAATGACTGCTTAAACTTTATTTTCAGTGTAATGCAGAGACGATTGGTATTTTTTTTTTAGATTTGAAAAATAACTGTATCGTCAGTTTCTTAATTATTATAATATGCTAGGTATATTTATTAAAGGTATATTTGTCACATTTTGCTTTCACTATCGCTTGGTTATGACAGTTATAAAAAAAATTAATAAATTTACCTAGTTTGTTTCGATATGAGTCGATTTCGGGTCTAGACAAATTTCCAAAGACGTTCAATGGGGTATTATAGTTAGACGAAAATATCAATTACCCCGTACATCGCTATTTATCGATTGCATTACAGGAATCACTATCTGTCAGTGAGCTGTCAATGTCACTTTAGCATTGATGTGAGATATCGCCATCTTTCATTCATTTCATTTTCATTTTATATGTAGAAATTTATTCACTTGACATTGGCAGAATTGTGCGAAATGCGCAGATAAGCCATTAATAAAAGAAGAAGAAGAAGATTCACGCAATTCGGTTGTGGATTCTTGTAAAACTATTGACAAACTTGATGGAGTCAACATTCTAATTTTAAATGTATAAATTGAATATTAAAATGTTTTTATTTTAATAAACTACTGGGAATATTCAAGGGATTAAAAAAATTACCATTTTTCTAAAAGACTTTTGCCCGTTTTCACTAACCTAGAACAAGATATTGCTTAGCTAGAAATCACTAAATTGTATATTTGTCGTTTCACCAAACCTGTAACATTAGGTAATACTAATCACTTGCTTAGTTAAGCAACATTTGTTGGTGATTTTGTATGCTTCAGTTTCTTTTCATTTTTTTATGTGTAGTATATTTGCGTTTACACGATTCGATTATATTATATTAGAATTAAGATATATATAATGAGATTTTTTGAATTTTTGGACTTTTTATAAATGGGTAATGACGATTCAGGTCGTGTTAATGCAAGGCCACATAATTTTTTTCTTCTTTATTATCTCAAAAAATATATCTTTGTTTTTGTCTCTTTACTTGTAAAGACTACTAACATGACTTAATAAGCAAGTGCTTAGGAAGGCATTACCTAAAGTTACAGGTTTGGTGAATGACAAATCTGCTTAGGCTATTCTTAATATTGAGTGATTTCTAGTTTAGTGAAAATGGACATAATATTGTTAGGCTTTTGCACTTCAAAAATAACGTATATATAAAGAAAAGCAGATCCCTATAGAACTCGTGTCTGTCACAGCTAATGTGCTATAAATCTACTCGATCGAAAATCTACTTTTTTTCTGAAAAGTATTTCCTGTGATATTTCAAACGAAGAGCGTGTTGCAAGATTAGGTTATTTATCCAAGTATCAATTACATGATAACTTTGTAGAAATCTGTTTATAATGAACACACGGACCTCGGACCTAAATCGTAGTTTACATATCGTGGATTAAAGTTTTGTTTTTAAATTATTGTGTGCAACTTATTGTTCGCGTAATAATGGAAATCCAAAAAATTTTGCAAACTTAGCTGTTAATTGCCCTTTTACATAAATTATATATTAAGTCCCTTTTTAGAAGTCATTATCAACATATTGTAATTACTAAATTTAGTGTGAACCATGTTCTAAAGTTTTTAACACGTCAGCTATATGAAATTCGTCACGAAGTTAGCAAAGGAATCCAATTAATTAATCCTTCGTAATTCAGTACCAACTAAACTTTTTAGCCGACCCTCTGTGGAATGTGAATACGAAAACTATAACCTTGGCTCTGTGTATAACATTTTAAATAAACCGTCGTCATCAGCTAAATGTGAGTCATTGAAAACTCGACATCCAATTTGTTGTCATCGAAATGTCATTATGTAAACTCAGCATGGGTTAAAATTTAAAATAAATATTTGTGATCTGGGATATGGCATTACTGCTGGAGAGTAGGTTTCATACACAGAAAGAGCATTTTTTATATATTAATTTTATGTATCTCTAGCATCCATATTTAGTTTGAGCATTACTAATCATGATAAGCCTTTTATTGTTATTGCAGGGGCACAAGCCTTCTATGGATAACTTCCCACGCGTGCCTAGTGGTTTGGTAGGTCTTAATAACAGCAAATGTACCAAGACAAGAAAACGGCACGGCAAAGCTCGAGATAAAAAAGTGTGGGTCACCCAGGATTGGCAGCTAGCTATTGCAAAATTTGCTCAAACTGACTGAAGGTGCAAATAAGAGAGTGTTTATTTGAATATTAACGTATCAGAATCATTTTATATATTTTTTGCACTGATATTGTATCTAGAGAGATTTTTTGGCATTGGCTAACTAATAAGAACGGACTGGAATCCATTACATAAGCCCAGTGCCAATGGTGAAATCGATGAAGCCGGAATCAACAGTTTAATGTTATTTTAATTATTATAATTTAAAATTGAAGTATTAAGAGAAGTCTATGCATTTAGTGGTCTAACATGTTTCTCTTGCAAATGGAGCTGGCATCGCATTCATCTCTGTTCAAAATAGTTCTACAGTTAATTCAGTTACTATGCTCATTCAAACAAACTCTTTTGCTTCATTTGTATATGCGAACACGATGTATTTTATGCATAGAAATTACATTACACTGGGCTTACTTGTTATTGCAGTGTAACTTAAATAGTAGTTATCGCCTTGTGACGCCATGCGTCTGTTTTTATACATGTCTATTACCATAGTCAATTAATATATGAAACCAATTTGCATGATAACACGCGAGGCGGGCAAAATCTAACTGACCAATAACTTAAAAAAATATCATCTGATTATAAAAGTTGCATTCATTTTCGATTTCTCTTTTAAATGGTCAATTAGGATGGACACTCCATCGGCGAACAGCACGAGTTGGTGGAAGATAACGACTGAAAATGCAGTCGGCACCAACAGCTTAACGTGTCTCCCGAAGCACGAAAGAGCTTGTGCTTGAGGGCGATGACCGAGAGTTCGAGAGTTTACCCATATTATTACATTTATGTTTTCTGTTATTCAATCCATATTGTTATGTTTAGCTAAATAAACTATTATTGCATATTTACATTACTTAAACATTTGTAGTATAAAACAACGTTAATGTTATTTGAAGCCTCCTTTCAAATTCTATCTATTTTATTTACCAATTGAATTTATTCTCATTTTTTAGGAACTATTGTAGTCTTTAACAACGAGGCACACGAAGATATCTATATTGTTCGCACAACAATAATGCTTCACAAAAGTAGGGCAGGAGGTATTATATTCGAATCTTTCGCGACAAATATTGAATTTACAATAAGATCTCGACAAAAGGACCGAGTTTATTAAAAATGTATTTAAAGGTCCACCTTCAGCGCTCACTTTCAGCTGCCTTTGAATTCACATTGGCTGAATTCCGCTAGCGGTTTTTGATCCCGACTTAATGGAGTTGGCATAGACGACTTCTGTTGCCAAGAGGCTCGCACTCTAGTTTAAAGGTGTCACCCACCATCTGTGATGTTCCAGTTTAAATTTCCAGATGCGTTTATGTTGTTTATTTTTTTTAATTAATTAGCATAAAGGAATAATTCTTTATAAAGACAATAATTGTCTTTACTCGTTTTCCTTAGCTCACTTTGGTTTGATAATATATTATGTATGAGCTAAACAATTAGTAAATACATTTGTTCCGTGAGATAAATTTATATATATTTTAATACAAATTAACAAATTGTAATCGAATTAATGGTTTTTTTTGAGTTCTACTGTCGTGATATCTAAAATAATGACTAAATTGAAGTCTCTATATTTTCTTAAGTGACTGCAAGAAATAAAAGCCCTTAACATTGCATTATTGGGTTCCTTAAAAAAATACATTAATATAAAAATTAAGTATGTAAAAAAGTCGAAGCCTTAATGAATGTTTGTGAACAAAATAACGTATATTTTATTAGAAAAGCTTTGAAGCTATCAGAAATACTCGTTCCACGAACCATGAAAATTTGGATGATCAATAAATTGAATATACAAATACATTTTTTTTAATTAAACGTATAACAAGCACCTTCTGGAAATAATTCTGAAATTAATTTTAGTTTTACTCACAACAGACGAAGACTTGAAATCTATTGAACAAATTTGATCTTTTGTAGTGATGTGACTTACTGTCGACAGTTATTTACATTAATGTAAATTTTATTTTTAAACGCTAATTAGGAAAAAATTATACTTTATATATAATATAGCTATATGACAGTCAAAAGTCACTATATGACAGTATATGACATCTAGTCGTAGAAAATTGATTCCTCGCCTTTATTCTTGCAGATAAATTTTAACATTCATCATCGATTTTGCAAGGCAAAACTATTCACCCTTAAAGATTATCTCAACAACACATCTTACTTTAACTCCCTTACGCGTTTGTGTCATGAGTGTGTGTTGCCAGTGATGACTTACGGAAGCGAAACGTAGTCAGTCGGTCACTTTGGGCCTCATTAGAAAGCTCAAGGTCAGCCAGCGGGCAATGGAGAGAGCAATGCTTGGTATCTCTTTAAGTGAACGAATTAGGAATAAGGAGATCCGTAGGAAAACTAACGTTATTGACATTGCTCAAAGAATTGCTCAGCTGAAGTGGTAGTGGGCGGGACACATAGCGAGAAGCATAGGGAGGCCGATGCTCAGCAGTGGGCGTCTTACGGCTGATGATGATGATGATGATGATGATGATGACGCGTGTGTG